CTACTACTACTACTACTACTACTACTACTACTACTACTACTACTACTACTACTACTACTACTACTACTACTACTACTACTACTACTACTACTACTACTACTACTACTACTACTACTACTACTACTACTACTACTACTACTACTACTACTACTACTACTACTACTACTACTACTACTACTACTACTACTACTACTACTACTACTACTACTACTACTACTACTACTACTACTACTACTACTACTACTACTACTACTACTACTACTACTACTACTACTACTACTACTACTACTACTACTACTACTACTACTACTACTACTACTACTACTACTACTACTACTACTACTACTACTACTACTACTACTACTACTACTACTACTACTACTACTACTACTACTACTACTACTACTACTACTACTACTACTACTACTACTACTACTACTACTACTACTACTACTACTACTACTACTACTACTACTACTACTACTACTACTACTACTACTACTACTACTACTACTACTACTACTACTACTACTACTACTACTACTACTACTACTACTACTACTACTACTACTACTACTACTACTACTACTACTACTACTACTACTACTACTACTACTACTACTACTACTACTACTACTACTACTACTACTACTACTACTACTACTACTACTACTACTACTACTACTACTACTACTACTACTACTACTACTACTACTACTACTACTACTACTACTACTACTACTACTACTACTACTACTACTACTACTACTACTACTACTACTACTACTACTACTACTACTACTACTACTACTACTACTACTACTACTACTACTACTACTACTACTACTACTACTACTACTACTACTACTACTACTACTACTACTACTACTACTACTACTACTACTACTACTACTACTACTACTACTACTACTACTACTACTACTACTACTACTACTACTACTACTACTACTACTACTACTACTACTACTACTACTACTACTACTACTACTACTACTACTACTACTACTACTACTACTACTACTACTACTACTACTACTACTACTACTACTACTACTACTACTACTACTACTACTACTACTACTACTACTACTACTACTACTACTACTACTACTACTACTACTACTACTACTACTACTACTACTACTACTACTACTACTACTACTACTACTACTACTACTACTACTACTACTACTACTACTACTACTACTACTACTACTACTACTACTACTACTACTACTACTACTACTACTACTACTACTACTACTACTACTACTACTACTACTACTACTACTACTACTACTACTACTACTACTACTACTACTACTACTACTACTACTACTACTACTACTACTACTACTACTACTACTACTACTACTACTACTACTACTACTACTACTACTACTACTACTACTACTACTACTACTACTACTACTACTACTACTACTACTACTACTACTACTACTACTACTACTACTACTACTACTACTACTACTACTACTACTACTACTACTACTACTACTACTACTACTACTACTACTACTACTACTACTACTACTACTACTACTACTACTACTACTACTACTACTACTACTACTACTACTACTACTACTACTACTACTACTACTACTACTACTACTACTACTACTACTACTACTACTACTACTACTACTACTACTACTACTACTACTACTACTACTACTACTACTACTACTACTACTACTACTACTACTACTACTACTACTACTACTACTACTACTACTACTACTACTATACTACTACTACTACTACTACTACTACTACACTACTACTACTACTACTACTACTACTACTACTACTACTACTACTACTACTACTACTACTACTACTACTACTACTACTACTACTACTACTACTACTACTACTACTACTACTACTACTACTACTACTACTACTACTACTACTACTACTACTACTACTACTACTACTACTACTACTACTACTACTACTACTACTACTACTACTACTACTACTACTACTACTACTACTACTACTACTACTACTACTACTACTACTACTACTACTACTACTACTACTACTACTACTACTACTACTACTACTACTACTACTACTACTACTACTACTACTACTACTACTACTACTACTACTACTACTACTACTACTACTACTACTACTACTACTACTACTACTACTACTACTACTACTACTACTACTACTACTACTACTACTACTACTACTACTACTACTACTACTACTACTACTACTACTACTACTACTACTACTACTACTACTACTACTACTACTACTACTACTACTACTACTACTACTACTACTACTACTACTACTACTACTACTACTACTACTACTACTACTACTACTACTACTACTACTACTACTACTACTACTACTACTACTACTACTACTACTACTACTACTACTACTACTACTACTACTACTACTACTACTACTACTACTACTACTACTACTACTACTACTACTACTACTACTACTACTACTACTACTACTACTACTACTACTACTACTACTACTACTACTACTACTACTACTACTACTACTACTACTACTACTACTACTACTACTACTACTACTACTACTACTACTACTACTACTACTACTACTACTACTACTACTACTACTACTACTACTACTACTACTACTACTACTACTACTACTACTACTACTACTACTACTACTACTACTACTACTACTACTACTACTACTACTACTACTACTACTACTACTACTACTACTACTACTACTACTACTACTACTACTACTACTACTACTACTACTACTACTACTACTACTACTACTACTACTACTACTACTACTACTACTACTACTACTACTACTACTACTACTACTACTACTACTACTACTACTACTACTACTACTACTACTACTACTACTACTACTACTACTACTACTACTACTACTACTACTACTACTACTACTACTACTACTACTACTACTACTACTACTACTACTACTACTACTACTACTACTACTACTACTACTACTACTACTACTACTACTACTACTACTACTACTACTACTACTACTACTACTACTACTACTACTACTACTACTACTACTACTACTACTACTACTACTACTACTACTACTACTACTACTACTACTACTACTACTACTACTACTACTACTACTACTACTACTACTACTACTACTACTACTACTACTACTACTACTACTACTACTACTACTACTACTACTACTACTACTACTACTACTACTACTACTACTACTACTACTACTACTACTACTACTACTACTACTACTACTACTACTACTACTACTACTACTACTACTACTACTACTACTACTACTACTACTACTACTACTACTACTACTACTACTACTACTACTACTACTACTACTACTACTACTACTACTACTACTACTACTAC